TACCTTGTCGCGCTCTTCGAGGACACCAACCTGTGCGCCATCCACGCCAAGCGCGTCACCATCATGCCCAAGGACATTCAGCTCGCCCGCCGCATTCGTGGCGAGCGCGCTTGAACGCCCAGCTCGGCCCTCAAAGCACAACACAAAGGCTCTTTTCAGAGCCACCACTTACTCGTGAGAAAGCTTCCATGTGTGTCCTTCAAAGTTCGGGTGCCGGAAACCTTCGTTTGCTGGTCACGGCTCTCACGAGTCGTCAGGCGTAAGCGACAATGAAGTTCATTTCTATACCCCGCCGCTCATTCTGCAACATCACACGTTGGTGTTGTGTATAAGCGTTGTGAAACCATGTTTACATAATGTACAACAAAAGAGTTATTTTGGTGAAATGTATTTTACCTCAGAGTCGCGTGGTGGGTGTGGAGGCCTCGCACCGTGCAGAGCCTCCCGCCTCGCCTGATTTTGCCACCCGGCTGACGCTGGGTACGGGTGCCGTTTCCCCCCCCCCCCCCGCTACAATAATACTGTGTAATCGCTATAATTTAATAATCTACCGACCCTATAATAGTAATAGCACACATTGTGGTGGGGGGGGGAGTAAAGAAGACGTGAAACTTAGATGAATTTACCTCAGAGTCGCGTGTTAATGCGTGCGCCTATTTTTAACGGGAATTAAAGATGGCGTCCACCCCGCAACTGCTAGCCCGTCGCTAGCCGTTGCCAGGGGCAACCGGCGTCCAATGAAAGCGGCGAAGTCGTCGCTAGGCGTTGGCAGGGGCAACCGGCGTCCAATGAAAGTGCGTATGGTCCGACATCCACACACAGACAGACAGACATTCACGATTTTATATATATAGATTAACCCAAAGATATTGGTTTATGCTGTTTCAAGCCCGAGCTGATAAGAAGTTCACATTTTGCAAACTGAGACTGAATTATTCACGCACATATATTTTTAGGCATTGCCCGAACAGGCGGTTAAAAAAGATATCTATACACCGTATAGGCACGTGGGCGATCAATCACGAGCTCAAGGCTATCACATGATTTCTTATAACCAATGCGGTCCCTCAAAATGATGATTATAATCAATAATACATTGATATTTGCGGAATCCGCTTATAAGTTTGACTTGCCAGCACGCGCCCATAAATTAACTCTATCATGCTTAAAACTTGAACCTTTTAAGTACGTGTATCGCATTGTTTAATTCATAAGATGCGTGTCCGCATTAAAATATATATGGATACAAATAATGAAAGTCAACATCGAATCCTCGCGTCCCGGCTTGTCATTGGTGGCTCAAGGAGAGGGCGGGACTCGAGCGAGAGGAGCCAATCAGCAGCGGCGCGCTCTACGATCCTCGTCTCCGCTATAGAAGCCGCTCCCGTGGTGCGTGTTAACGTCACAAATTGTTCGTACTTTGTCTCCAGTGCTTTTTGCATCCTAGGTCCCTTAACGATGTCTGGACGCGGCAAGACCGGTGGCAAATCTCGCGCCAAGGCAAAGTCCCGCTCTTCCCGCGCCGGCCTGCAGTTCCCCGTGGGTCGCGTTCACAGGCTGCTCCGCAAGGGCAATTACGCCCAGCGGGTCGGCGCTGGAGCACCCGTCTACCTGGCCGCCGTGCTCGAGTACCTTTCTGCCGAGATCCTCGAGCTGGCTGGCAATGCCGCCCGCGACAACAAGAGACGAGGATCATCCCCCGACACCTGCAGCTCGCCGTGCGAAACGACGAGGAGCTCAACAAGCTCATGGGCGGCGTGACTATCGCCCAGGGCGGTGTGCTGCCCAACATCCAGGCCGTGCTGCTGCCCAAGAAGACCTCTCAGGCAAAGAAGTGAACGCGCCGCCGCCTCTACCACCACAACAACGGCTCTTTTCAGAGCCACCCACTTGCTTGCAAGAGCTCGGACAGTCGTGCACAGGGGTTTTGTTATTAATAAGGACACCGTCGTCGAGTTGCCCTCGTCCCAAATTGCTCGCAATTAAACGAATGCTCTGCTCATTCCAGATACCCTTTATGTCTAATTTAGGAACGGTATTTGAGCAGCATTCCAACATTGCATCAATCATGGAACATGGTTTAGAATAAATTGAGGTGCCTATTGGAAGAAAGTATCGTGTTTTTTTAAAGAATAAAACTCGCTCTTTTTGAGCGGTCAGATTACATATGAAGAGGAGTCGGAGAATGGTTCAAGCACTTCAAGGGATCTGCGAGCCACCCTCACGCACCACGCACCACGCAAACACGACATCTCCGCTCTCACGACAACACGCACCAATCAATCTTAATTTTTTTTCACACACGCGCGGGAAATAAGAGCTGGACGGGGGGGTCAGGGGTTAAAGGGCAGTGACGTCACCCGGACCAGGCGTGCTGGACGCGAATGTGTATTGGGAGCGGAGATTGAGGAGTTAAAAGGGGCTGTGGGACGTGTGCCCGGGTTGGTCTTGGAACGAATATTGCTGTGCGTGCGTTGCGGAGATTGAGGATTAAAAGGGGCTGTGGGACGTGTGCCCGGGTTGGTCTTGGAACGAATATTGTTGTGCGTTGGTGAAAACAGGTCCCTGTGGGGTGGGCTGGTAGGACCGAACAATTGAATGGCTATAATAAAATGAAATGGCAAAAAATGGCGCCAATGAGTGGATGGAAACGTAGACGTAGTGGAACATAAGAAACAATAAAGTAGTAGTAACCGTTCTGCAAAAAAATAATAGTATTGCACAAGTATGTACCTACGTGAGTGCAGCTTGGAGCAGACACAGTGAGTAGTAACAATCTGCACGAGATGCAGCGCCGTGGGCCACGCCCCTATCACTGTTAGCCCCGCCTCCTCGCCCCCGGTACTGTATTCTCGACTGTAGACTCCGCCCCTTTTCGCCAACGGCCCCTCCCTCCATCGCGCTAAGCTCCGCCTCCCACCGCTTGACCCCGCCCCGCTCCCCCGTGGCTCCGCTCCGCCCCCGTGGCCCCGCCCTCCACCCGCGTAACCCCGCCCCGCCACCCGTGGCCCCGCCCCATCTCGGTGTCCCCGCCCAGCCCCGCGTAGCCCCGCCCCCTGCCGCTGTAGCCCCCGCCCGCTGCCGCGTAGCCCCGCCCCCTGCCGCTGTAGCCCGGCCCCCTGCCCCTGCCGCGTAGCCCCGCCCCCTGCCGCGTAGCCCCGCCCCTGCCGCGTAGCCCCGCCCCCTGCCGCTGTAGCCCCGCCCCCTGCCGCGTAGCCCTGCCCCCTGCCGCTGTAGCCCCCCCCCTGCCGTAGCCCCGCCCCCTGCCGCTGTAGCCCCCCCCCTGCCGCTGTAGCCCCGCCCCCTGTCGCGTAGCCCCGCCCCCTGCCGCGTAGCCCCGCCCCTGCCGCGTAGCCCCGCCCCCTGCCGCGTAGCCCCGCCCCCTGCCGCTGTAGCCCCGCCCAATACACCCCGAGCGGGGGAGAGATTCCCAGGCCTGGCTCGGCTGGAGAGCCGCCGACGAGGGGGGGAGGTAGGAGTTGTTTTTAATGAAAAGCTTTAAATGTAAATGTTTCTATTAAAAAACATCAGGGAATGTAACCTTGTTAACCATTTACTCCCTTTCACACACGCGGGGGAACTATACGAAGGGAGAGCTTGAGGCCTAGGTCTAGGCTTTAGGCCTAGCTGTAGGCCTTAGGCCGCCGTGGGTTAAATGTTTTTGTAGGGTCATGCCAAGTGTTTGCAGTAGGGGGCGATGTTGACACACGGACGGACGGACAAACGGACGCACGATATAATCTATTGGAGTCTGGTCCACTTCGTTCCTACCAGAAGTGCATAAACCAATCTACTACGCCTCTCACATGCGCGTGGAACGAATGATTATTGCATTCGTTCTAAATTTGTAGCTTTCGTGACTGCAATGATTCATACTCTTAGGTTTTTCGGTAAAGTCACGTAGGTAAAACAATAATAATAAATAACTAAAACAATATAAATAATAAAATAACAAATCAGGGGGGAAGAGGGGGGCTTATCTGAATGTGGTTGCCGGGACGTGGCGGGGGTGTCGGGGCTAAAAGAGAACAAATGAGCACATCTAGCTCAGGTTGTGGCCGGTGTTAGCTGATAGTAAGCCATAAAAGTACTGGTAAACGCTGGGGATGTTAACACTCGCGAAAGTATAATATTACCTGTCAAATAAGATGGTACAAATAGTGTAGTTAAATATTTTTTACATGGTTAATAACATCTTTCCAATGATTACTCATTCGTGTTACTTAGTGCAGTAAATACGTGTTACTTATTGCAGTAAAAACAACTCATCGCATGAACCATCCTGCGCTCCTAGAATATCAACTCTGTCAATGCATTAAACGTAAGATATATATTTTCTTTAAACATTCGACTGCGGAGTCACTTGAGTTGAATTGAGTGGTGATGATTGTGCACCGTGCCTTCAAGGCGCGCGACCCTTCTGCAGTGCGTGAGCTACTCATCTCTTGCCACGTAAAATGTTAAACTTTCCTATTAATGTCGGTTAATTTTGAGTAATTTTCTTCAGTTTGTTGTCCATCTGAAAATCCATAAATTTATTCATTTCAAAGTTCGATTAAAACGTCCAGTTAAAGTTCGGTGACAAGGGACGATTGACATGGCGCGCAGTCCTCACCATAGCGCGAGAGGAGGAATCGCGAGCGCGCGAGGCAAAACTTAAATAGAAAATATTTTGTTGGAATTAATATGAGTAGTCTTTTGAAGCATCTTGTCTTGCAAAAAATTCGAGTGCGTTTTAAATAGTGTTCATCAGTAACACTTTTGAAAACCGACAATCATCATATCTTGCCCTGACCGAACAATGTCTCCCAAATGTTGGTTGTTCACTTGTTTAGAATTATAATTTATATCGTGAGCATTGTCGTATATTGCATAAGTAACGTACATTAAAGAAGTGATCTTCGTGATGATGTATAACTAGATGCATGTAAGTATGAACGTTACGGGAGTAATCGAGCCCAAAGGCAGGCGTGATAAACACAGTGAGTATGGATGGCAACTCCCTCACTAGAGCTGAGTGCTGGATGATCTCAGCGACGTCCGCATTCAGTACGCCGCTTCTATAATAACCTCGGGCCTGGAGGACGCTCGGTTCGAATTCGTGAGAGCGCTGATTTCGGTTTCCAAGAGGCGAGGCGATAAAAGCGACGTCTTGAGATGGCGGAAACTGCTCCTGCTCAACCACCAGCTGCGGCTACTTCAGCGCCTAAAAGCCCCAAGAAGAAGCGCGCCGCTCCAAAGGCCAAGAAGGTCGGCCCCAGCGTGTCCGAGCTCATCCTCAAGGCTCTGGCCAGCAGCAAGGAGAGGAACGGCGTGTCTCTTCCTGCGCTCAAAAAGTCGCTTGCTGCCGGAGGATACGACGTGGAGAAGAACAATGCCCGCGTGAAGTTGGCCATCAAGAAGCTCGTGGCCAAAGACGCCGTGGCGCAAGTGAAGGGCAGCGGCGCGTCTGGCTCTTTCAAACTCAACAAGGAAAAGGCTGCCGCAAAGGCGAAGCCCAAGTCGTCAACGGCAAAGCCCGCAGCTAAAAAGCCCGCGGCAGCCAAGAAGGTGAAGAAGCCCGCGGCAGCCAAGAAGACCGCGCCCAAGAAGTCTCCCAAGAAAGCAAAGAAGCCCGCGGCTGCCAAGGCGGCCAAGAGCCCCAAAAAGGTGAAGTCGGCTGTTAAGCCCAAGAAGGCGGCGAAGAGCCCAGCCAAGCCCAAGGCTGCGAAGCCCAAGGTCGCTAAGCCCAAGACCGTCAAGGCCAAGGCCGCCAAACCCAAGGTGGCCAAGCCCAAGAAGGCCGCGGCCAAGCCCAAGAAGACTGCGCCAAAGAAGTGAATCCGATGGGACGACCGACGCTCGATTCACTCCACCTCAACGGCTCTTTTCAGAGCCACCCACTTCGTTAAAAAAGTGTACCAGATGCTGCTGCGCTTCAATTAGTTCAAATTAACTGTGTAACATTTCACCCACTCGATGTGTTTTAAGCATTGATGTGATGGGAGTGATCGAGCCCGAAAGCAGGGATCACAAACACAGGCGAGGCGGTGGGCAGCTCCCTCACTCGAACTGAGTGCAGAGTAATCTCAGCGACGTCAGCATTCTCGCTGGCGATTCTAATTAAATCCAGATTCAAATCGATGCATTCTTGACGAACCTCCATTTTGATTATGTGTTGCACCTCTTCATTCCGTCATCATGCTACTGGTGCCAAATATGGAATTTAGTCTAAAAATGTATTGATTCCAGACAGCTTTACTCAATTGCCTTCATTCGCTCGTTCTCGCCATTTTCACTTTGTTTTTGTTTTGTAAACATTGCGGTGCACCATCTAAACTTAAAGTAAGTTCATCTGTTCACTTGCAAACAAGACCTTACATCGATTATTCACTCCACGTGCAATCTTGCAACAGATGGCGTTCCTCTGGCGTTCGCTGCGGGTGGTGCCAATATCATTCCAGAGTGCTTCGAAGAAGGGCCATTGCCAAAACGTCGCATAGTATACATGTCAAGGAAGTGTTATTGACGACGGTGGAGGGTTTTCCTTCGTCGCAGAGGTTAAAGGTGGAAGGTTTAAGGCGGAGCCATCGCGGAGGGCAGGGGTGGTCGGTGACGTCGCCACGCTTCGGGTATAAAGGCGGCTGCTGCTGCAAGCTGAGCGCGCAAGTCTCTCGCGAGGAGCTTTGTCACAAGTAGTCGCAATGTCTGGACGCGGTAAAGGCGGTAAGGGGCTCGGCAAGGGAGGCGCAAAACGGCCCATCGCAAGGTGCTGCGCGACAACATCCAGGGCATCACCAAGCCCGCCATCCGCCGCCTCGCTCGCCGCGGCGGTGTGAAGCGCATCTCGGGCCTCATCTACGAGGAGACCCGCGGCGTCCTGAAGGTCTTCCTTGAGAACGTCATCCGCGACGCCGTCACCTACACGGAGCACGCCAAGCGCAAGACCGTCACCGCCATGGACGTGGTCTACGCCCTCAAGCGCCAGGGCCGCACTCTCTACGGCTTCGGAGGCTGAGCGCCCATCTCTCGCACACTAAGCCAACCCAAAGGCTCTTTTCAGAGCCACCCACCTCTTCGAAACTGCTTGCGCCAGTGTTGCCAAACACGCTCTGAATGGAGCACATGTCCTGGGTTGTTGTGAGCGTGCTGGACGTTTCGCTTGTTGAGTTGGCGAATCTTCATCTGCTTCCACATGAATGAAAGAATCATGATGTTCACGACCGTCACATTTAACAAGGCGTAATTCTTGAACGCCTTAATACAGTAACCCATTTCTGGTATTTTTGCGTGAATTATTTCCAGCTGCAGCCGATTCCGATATTACGTAGAGCATTGGCGCCACAATGTTACAGCACACTCGTCCTAATTGACGGAGCGTGCCGGAATGCTAATCTCCACCTGTACAGCACAACAGCGAAGTTATTTTTCTCCACCGAGCGCTTGTATTTTTCCAAATTGCGTTCATAAAACGCCCGTGCGCCGTATTAGACGAGTGGTGAAACAATCCCTCGTAAGAAACAAAAAAACCCACGCTCAAAACACAATATACTGTATTGGGATTTCTAGTCATCCTTTTAAAGCAAAGGCAATGCCATGGCTGCAATTCACTAATACACATGTTTGGACATTACATTGTGTTATATTCACAAGTCCTTTTTGCAGTAAAATCGATATTAAAGTGAACATCGCGTCCGCCGTTTCTCATTGGAGGCTGATGGAGAGGGACGGTACTAAAAGAGCCACTCAGCAGCGCCGCGCACTACGATCCTCTGATTTGCATCTCGCCTCCTATAAAAGGAGCTCAACGCGCGAGCGACATCCACATTCGCTTCTCCGTCTGTTCTGACCTGAAGCTGCTGCCTACGACGCGTCGACATGCCGGATCCTCCCGCATCAAAGAGCGCTGGGCCGGCCAAGGTTCCTGCTCCCAAGAAGGGCTCCAAGAAGGCTGTGACCAAGGCTACGCGCAAGGGATGGCAAGAAGCGACGCCACCGCAGGAAGGAGAGCTACGCCATTTACATCTACAAGGTGATGAAGCAGGTGCACCCCGATACCGGCATCTCGTCCAAGGCAATGAGCATCATGAACTCGTTCGTCAACGACATCTTCGAGCGCATCGCTTCCGAGGCGTCCCGCCTGGCGCACTACAACAAGCGCTCCACCATCACTTCTCGGGAGATCCAGACCGCAGTGCGACTGCTGCTCCCCGGCGAGCTGGCCAAGCACGCCGTGTCGGAGGGCACCAAGGCCGTCACCAAGTACACAAGCTCCAAGTGAAGCCTCGACTCCACCATTAATTACAAAGGCTCTTTTCAGAGCCACCCACCTCTCCGAACCTGCTTGTACCAGTCCTAGCAGGAGTACGAAACGAAACTTCCAACAAAGCCCCGGTTCACGCGGGGACATTGTTCGCTCATTGAGTGAAATGGAGAGATGGAACGCATTTTACCTGTTTCCACGTGAATAAAAGCGATAACAATATTCATGGCACATCATATTCACCAGCAGGCATTTCTTGGACTTGTTTGTCCATTGATTTCATCTGCAGCCCATTCAGATACTACATGGATATTTGGTGCCAAACCTTGCAATGCATATATTTAATTCGTGGTTGTATTTTCGGGCAGGAACTAACATTTTGCACGTGTACATCTATGTAAAAGTAAGCGCCTAGCATGGATGACTCGTGCAGTATAATTGATGATCATCATCTCAATGCCAAGAGAATAGATATCTATCCCTGTGATCACCTCTTTCCGACAATTTTACGTATTAACTTTGGAGCTTTCGTGACTGCAGGAATTATTCTTTGGTTCTTTCGGTAAAGTCACGTATATATAAAAACAAATTGGTGATATCTGTCTGCTTATATGTCTGTCTATAATTTTTTCTGGTTAGATTTTATGTCGCTATTTCATTATACCTGATGATGATTGCTTGTGTTGCAATCGAAACGTCGTATGCTATTATTTAATGTATTATTTTTTCTTTATACGGACTTTACCGAAAGAACCAAAGAATAATTTTTACGTATTACTGTTTTCAATGAAGTGCAGTTTCTTCACACTTTATTTAGATCATGCAGAACACTGTAAAGTTGTTTTCGGAAAGGTGTTTGCTTGAGAAAATAACATCCGTTAAGGACATGGACGGCGCTCAAACGGTACTACTGCATCGTGATGCGGCATTCTGCAATGCTCCAAAGTGAGAACATTTCGTTGATGAAGAAGAGTTGACGACTCGAGATCATTGCACGCTGCCAACCAATCAGCACGCGCCCCTTCTTCGCACGTCACGACTCCGCTGACCAGTGAGCGCGCGCTCTGGGCTACATAAGCCGCCTTCTCCTCCCCGCCTGTGAGAATCTTTGCCCTCACCAAGCCATGGCTCGCACCAAGCAGACGGCTCGCAAGTCCACGGCGGCAAGGCCCCCCGCAAGCAACTCGCCACCAAGGCGGCCCGAAAGAGCGCTCCGGCCACGGGCGGCGTCAAGAAGCCTCACCGCTACAGGCCCGGCACCGTCGCTCTGCGCGAGATCCGCCGCTACCAGAAGTCCACCGAGCTGCTCATCCGCAAACTGCCCTTCCAGCGCCTCGTCAGGGAGATCGCGCAGGACTTCAAGACCGACCTGCGCTTCCAGAGCTCCGCTGTCATGGCTCTGCAGGAGGCCAGCGAAGCGTACCTTGTCGCGCTCTTCGAGGACACCAACCTGTGCGCCATCCACGCCAAGCGCGTCACCATCATGCCCAAGGACATTCAGCTCGCCCGCCGCATTCGTGGCGAGCGCGCTTGAACGCCCAGCTCGGCCCTCAAAGCACAACACAAAGGCTCTTTTCAGAGCCACCACTTACTCGTGAGAAAGCTTCCATGTGTGTCCTTCAAAGTTCGGGTGCCGGAAACCTTCGTTTGCTGGTCACGGCTCTCACGAGTCGTCAGGCGTAAGCGACAATGAAGTTCATTTCTATACCCCGCCGCTCATTCTGCAACATCACACGTTGGTGTTGTGTATAAGCGTTGTGAAACCATGTTTACATAATGTACAACAAAAGAGTTATTTTGGTGAAATGTATTTTACCTCAGAGTCGCGTGGTGGGTGTGGAGGCCTAGCACCGTGCAGAGCCTCCCGCCTCGCCTGATTTTGCCACCCGGCTGACGCTGGGTACGGGTGCCGTTTCCCCCCCCCCCCACCGCGCTACAATAATACTGTGTAATCGCTATAATTTAATAATCTACCGACCCTATAATAGTAATAGCACACATTGTGGAGGGGGGGGGGGGAGTAAAGAGGACGTGAAACTTAGATGAATTTACCTCAGAGTCGCGTGTTAATGCGTGCGCCTATTTTTAACGGGAATTAAAGATGGCGTCCACCCCGCAACTGCTAGCCCGTCGCTAGCCGTTGCCAGGGGCACCGGCGTCCAATGAAAGCGGCGAAGTCGTCGCTAGGCGTTGGCAGGGGCAACCGGCGTCCATGAAAGTGCGTATGGTCCGACATCCACACACAGACAGACAGACATTCACGATTTTATATATAGATTTAACCCAAAGATATTGGTGTATGCTGTTTCAAGCCCGAGCTGATAAGAAGTTCACATTTTGCAAACTGAGACTGAATATTCACGCACATATATTTTTGGGCATTGCCCGAACAGGCGTAAAGAAAAATATCTATACACCGTATAGGTACGTGGGCGATCAATCACGAGCTCAAGGCTATCACAATGATTTCTTATAACCAATGCGGTCCCTCAAAATGATGATTATAATCAATAATACATTGATATTTGCGGAATCCGCTTATAAGTTTGACTTGCCAGCACGCGCCATAAATTAACTCTATCATGCTTAAAACTTGAACCTATTAAGTACGTGTATCGCATTGTTTAATTCATAAGATGCGTGTGCGCATTAAAACATATATGGATACAAATAATGAA